TTTTTTTTTTTTTTTTTTTTTCTCCAGTTCCAATTATTTCTAAATATATACACACACGTATATGCAAAATAACTTGCACGCCAGTTGAAAATGAAATATTTTCAGATTAAGTAACCAGCAGGCAAATATTGCAGACGATTATGCTTAATAAATTGAATAAATCAATTAAAATGTGACCCTGGAGCACAAAAGCAGTCTTAAGTCGCTGGGGTATATTTGTAGCAATAACCAACAATACATTGTATGGGTCAAAATTATACATTTTTCGTTTATGCCAAAAATCATTAGGATATTAAGTAAAAATCATGTTACATGAAGATATTTTGTGAATTTCCTACCGTAAATATATCAAAACTTAATTTTTGATTAGTAATATGCATTGCTAAGAACTTCATTTGGACAACTTTAAAGATGATTTTCTCAATATTTCGATTTTTTTTTGCACCCTCAGATTCCATATTTACAAATATTGTCCTATCCTAACAAACCATACATCAATGGAAAGATTATTTTATTCAGCTTTCAGATGATGTATAAATCTCAATTTCGCAAAATTGACCCTTATGACTGGTTTTGTGGTCCAGGGTCACAAATATGATTTATTGTGCTGCCCTATGACTTTCCATATTTAATTCTGTTATTTGTTGTAGACCTTGATATGCACAGCCTGTACTGTATAAAGCACTATGGAGATAAAGGTGACTTGACCTACACAGAAAAGTCCTACTGATTAGGACTAACAAAAGGAAGAGCTATTGTTTTAAGGTCTGATGCCTTTCAATATCAGCCGATTACTTAAGTCACTCTCCTGTTCTTTCTAACTCTTAATTCTCTTCGCTAGGTTTATTAAAGTCTACAAAGGCTCATCACATAATTAATGGCTATAACCCTCACCACTTAAACCCTGACGGCTAGTCCAGTGAACCTGCCTTTGAAAAACATAGCCTGTCTTACGACATTTTTCAGAAAGCTATGGTATAATCCATCTTGAGTCACACATGCATGTTTGGCTGATCGGAAGATGCGTGGGGGGGCACGCTCATAAATCAGCCGTTAAGCAGTAGGGACGAGGCGGGGAGGCTACAGGGTTAATGAATTTCTCCGGCTGTTTGGGGGTTGCTCAGGGTCCCGGCGAGGGATAGGACTGGATGCGTAGGAGCAGGTTGTCCAGAGAGGCCTCATCAGTCAGATCAAAGGTGTCTGCAGGGAAGGTCACCGGTTTCGCCCAAAGACCTGTTCTGAACCAGCGACTGGAAAACACTATTAAACAGTTGTAAGAGCTGAGATTCTGTACGTTATTCACCTATAAACTCCATATGTGGCCCTGCAGCACAAAAGCAGTCTTAAGTCGCTGGGGTATATTTGTAGCAATAGCCAACAATACATTGTATGGGTCAAAATTATACATTTTTATTTTATGCCAAAAATCATTAGGATATTAAGTAAAGATCATGTTCCATGAAGATATTTTGTAAATGTCCTACCGTAAATATATCAAAACTTAATTTTTGATTAGTAATATGCATTGCTAAGAACTTAATTCGAACAACTTTAAAGATGATTTTCTCAATATTTTGATTTTTTTGCACCCTCAGATTCCAGATTTTCTAATATTGTCCTATCCTAACAAACCATACATCAATGGAAAGCTTATTTATTCAGCTTTCAGATGATGCATAAATCTCAATTTTGAAAAATTGACCCTTATGACTGGTTTTGTGCTCCAGGGTCACATTTGCGCAATCAGTGTTTGGAATTCTGCTTTAAAACAATGTCCAATTTGTTAACATTAGTAGATGCATTAGCTAACATGAACTAACAACGAGTGATACATTTTTTAAAGTATTTATTGGTCGTTGGCAATATTAGTTAGTAAAATATAACTTAATTTGTTCATGTTAGTTCACAGTACATTAGTGTTATTTCATGTTATTTTTTTGTAAATGTTGAAATTAACATTCACTAATATGAATAAATCTGTTCATTGTTAGCTCATGTTAAATTAATGTGGTTAACAAATGTTAACAAATAAAACCATATTGCAAAGTGTTAACAAAAATCTAGTGATTGATTTGTGTGAAATCAGTGTTTTACTTCTAGCTACTGAAAACTTGTGTAGGATTGTCCTTAGAAGGGTTTCAACAGATATATTGTCTACTTTGAGGCAGCCTAATCCTACGGTTTTATAAAATAAAAACAAGCGCACATTTGTCTTCTTGCCCTGAATGCGTGTGTGTGTCATTTTTCAGATGAACAATTTTTCATCAGTTTTTCACATTTACCGGTTCAGCGATCCACTGACTGCCACTAGAGGTCAATGGTTAACTCCATTGTGGCTCAGAATGGACGGTTTTCTCAAGGGTGACATGTTGAAGATTTAGAGAGAGGCCTCAGCAAGCAGGGGATGTAATTGTTGGTTAAACCCCCTTTAATCCAACAGATTTTCAACAACTGCTAATTTGTCATGACCATCATTAATATCTGATACAATATACAAGACGTTCCTCAACCAAACGGATTCCAAAACGAAGTCATTCCTCAAATGCATCAAGGTTACTCATGGAGGTAAGCTTATGATACAGCATAGATTTATGCCACAGTCTGTAGAGTTGCATTAAATAAACTCAGACTTCAAGGAAGGATATTTTACATTTATTCTGTTTTCTATGTACATTTTGTTGTATGTACAGCCAGGTAATTCATATTTGTATGTTTCTGACAGTTATTCATAAGCGTTCAAAATTATAAACCAGACTGGTTACATTATTTCTTTTTTAAGTTTTTCTTATTTTTTTGAAGTAAAAAGAAAGTTTGACTACCAAACTCAAAGTACTGAAAAAAGTCAACCTAGCAAATGGCCTTTAAGAAAAGGAGCAAGGTTTAAAATACAAGAAAAATAAATACTATTAACAGGAAAATCTGCTGACTACAAGTGTCCAAAAATAAAGATCTCCATACCAAAGTTTGTTGCATTATTGTATCTCAGATGTTGTAGAATAACTCTAAAGCGTTTTTGAGTTATTAACTGTGAATAGTGCTCTGAGAATCTCTCCAATGTCTAAAGACGTTACTCTTGTGTGTATTAAAAGAGACTCTGAGGCCAGTATGTCCATGATAACTAGCTTATAGGTAGTATTAAACTATCAGTCTATTGTACTTTAAGTTTGTCTTGTGTGCTGTGCCACAATTTCCATTTTGTAAAAAGTGCTAATTTATCCAATTAGTTTTTACTCACTTTTTGTATCATGGACTTGCTGGTAGTGAAAATGTGATTTAACTTGTAACACATCCCTGAACAAAATCTGCACCACCAAAATGTGTTAGACTTCAACTAAAATCAGCACTTAAACAGATCTGCTGTGTGGTGCTCACTGACCAGATTCCCATTATTCTACAGTTTAACAGAAACCATCAAGCAGAAGATCCCAAAGACTTGTTCTGAAACATACTGCCTCAAAGTACAATGTTAAAAACAACTCGGATAATGAAATGAAAATAAATTAGGGCAGCAAAACGATTAATCGCATTCAAAATAAAAGTTTGTTTACATACTATATGTGTGTGTACTGTGTATATTTATTATGTATATATAAATACACACACATGTATGTGTGTGTCAAAGACGAAAAAGGGTTTAAGCATAAAAACAATAAGTGTAATACTGCTTTAAATTGTTGTTTTTCCCAAATTTTTTTTTTAAGTTTTCTGTTTAATTTAATTGCAATTTTGTTTTTGTTTTTCTGAGCAAAAAATAAATATCATACATTTTTTCCTGATTTACAGAAGAGACCCACTAAAATGTCATTCAGTGTGACAATCTTGTCAGGCATATTTACAACAAAAATCAATTTATGACATATTAAAAGACTAATTACTTTCACCCCAAATACTAATTAGTTGTAATTTTACATTTTTAAAAGTTGCCACTATCCTAGGTTTTGTGCATTTGTCAGTAAGAATTTTTTACTCATTTAAAACACAATAAAATTTAATATGCTCCCTTATTCATTTATATATTTTAATATGTACACATCAGAATAAGCATGTGGTTTGAATTTTTACATAAATAATGTGTTACACCGAATGACAATGTAACATTATTTCAATCAAATTTTAACATTGTATCCTCCAACAAACGTATCTGAAACCTTAAAAGTTGACACTTTACTTACATTTAATGTGCTTTCTATGGACATAAAATAACTTTGGAAATTTCTTTTGATGCGGACATCTTAACGTCTTTGACCCATGTATATATATTTTTTAAATATTTGTATGTATATATACTTGTATATAATTTATTTATAAATATTTTATATATAAATCTAAAATTTTTCCTTAATATATACATGTGTGTGTGTTTATATGTACATAATAAATATACACAGTACACACACATATAGTATGTAAACATAAACTTTTATTTTGAATGCGATTAATCGCGATTTAATCGTTTTGCATCCCTAGAAAAAACAATTATAAAACTGGATTGGTTTCCTCAATTACTGTCACCTTTTTCTTTTTTAATAAAAGGTTGGCATCCTTGTGCATTTGTCCTTGCATGAAAGGGGAAAAGTTCTTTGTCCCTGATATACAGTCAGCGTCATGCAAATATATGTCTCGTGTTACTGTCCTGCTCAAACACTGAGACATTCATTGCTGCGTCAGCCATCTGAACTGAACTGTTTGCTGTTAAGTCGCCTACGCAGCAAACTCTCACAAGTTATAAATACGCAGGAAAGCGCCTCTCCTCCATGTTGGGGCCTCATACGCTGCTCAAGAGAATCCAGTTAGCTGCCCTCATTCCAGTCGGGCATGATGCTTACGCTGTGCACGGCGTGGTATTGGTGCGGAGACAGGGTGCGAGGTATACTGTGAGTGTACAAGTACTCGTTGCCCTGCAGGCCGGCAGTCGGAGACTGGATTCCCGCACTTGGACTACATTGGCGGCCCAGTGACTGATGGGACATGGAACCCTGGTACATGGCATGAGTGTCTCCCAGCTGCGGTGAGGCGTGGCCCGCGACGCCGCTTAATCTGGACATGAGGGGTCCTGAGGTGAAGTGAGCTGAGAAGTGCTGGTAGGGCAGTCGCTCCATCTGCTGCATGGTGGTCACCGAGCAGCCGGCGTAAGGTGAGACGCCCGTCCAGGTGTTGCAGCTGATGTCTTCCAGGCTGGGCACAGGCTCGGTGGACTGCGACGCACTGGCGTACATGCACGCCTGCCGCTGACCAGACTCGGCCCTGTAGGGGGCGCCGCTGAGACCCAGAGACTGAGAGTAGCTCACGGGCCGATAGTAGTGATCGTCCTCGCTGGATGAGGTTTCCACGTAGGGCTTCTTGTACGAGTGCTCTCCCGCGTGACGGTCGTCATCAACTGCGCATGGACAAAATGGGATGGAAATTAGGGTTGTGCCGATAGTATCATTTATGCTTGCTATCGTCTTTTCCCCAGATGATAGCAAGACAATTATTATTATCATCATCAGTCTAGTAATACAACCTAATTAATATTAGGGCTTATTTGTTCCATTTTATTTATCTTTCTGCGTTTTTTCAGCGTTGCACGTTATAACCAATCACACACGATTCTGCTGAGCTTGTGAACGCAATGGCCAATCAGAGGTGTTCAGATGAGTCATCGCTGAAGCACCGGAGTTTTGTTGTTCAATGTGCGCTCGCTCGTTGAAGTCTGTCTTACGAATTCTCTCATCATAAACAATAAAGAGATTAATTCATCATACAGTGTAGATAGCTTCACTGATTATAACGGGAGTATTTTTAAACTCGCGCTAGACTGAAGTCAATGATGATGTTAATGTAAATGTTCTTTGCTCGTTTTCTGTAGCTGCTTTTTGAATAACTGAGGAAATGTAAGCCTTATGATTAGTAACTTACAACGTTTCTATTGAATTGTTACGTATGTTAAATACAGATTCGGTCATATTAAAACATTAGTCTGATTTTAGCCTTACGCTGGAGTTGGTTGACTTTCCGGCAATGAAACTTAGTAAATAAATAGATCAATAAATTAGCAGGATAATATCGTGTATCGGCGATCTCACAGGCTGACGATATGACAATAGAGCATATCACCAAACACTAATGGAAATGAATTCAGCGCTGGTTTCCCAACCATATTCCAGGAGCCACAGCATTTCACAGGTTGCACGTCTCCTTTTGGCACACTCATTTCAGGTTTTGGAGTCTTTACTGATGAACTGATGGCCTGACTCAGGTGTGTTTGATTAAAGGGAGAGTTCACCCAAAAATGAAAATTCTGTCATTAAGTACTCACCCTCATGTTGTTCCAAACTCGTGAGACCTTCGTTCATCTTCGGAACACAAATTAAGATATTTTTGATTAAATCCGAGAGCTCTCTGACCCTCCCATAGACAGCAACACAACTGAAATGTTTCCAGACCCAGAAACGCAGTGAAGACATCGGTAAAATAGTTCATGTGACATCAGTGGCTCAACCGTTATTTTACGAAGCTACGAGAATACTTTTTGTGCACAAAGAAAACAAAAACAACGACTTTATTCAACAATTCTTGTCCTCCGCATCACCGTAGGCGCCATTATCAAGAGTACCACGACACATGCACATTGCTTTCCTCTGCAACGCTCTACGTCAGCAGCACTACGAGCGCGTTGTTTACGTGCAGAGGTACTCCCAATAATGACGGAAGACGTGATTTTGAGGAGAATTGTTGAATAAAGTCATCAAAAACGCACAAAAAGTATTCTCGTAGCTTTATAAAATTATGGTTGAACCACTGATGTCACACAGACTATTTTACCGATGTCCTCACTGCGTTTCTGGGTCTGGGAATATTTCAGTTGCATTGCTGTCTATGGAGGGTCAGAGAGCTCTCAGATTTCATCAGAAATATCTTAATCTTACGGGTTTGGAACGACATGAGGGTGAGTAATTAATGACAGAATTTTCAGTTTTGGGTGAACTCTCCCTTTAAGGAGACATGCAGGCTCCAGGAACATGGTTGGGAACCACTTGAAATATCACAACCCTAAAACAACAGCTAAAATTGAAGTGACCAGATAGACCCACCTTTCCTCTTGATGCAGTGATAGTCTTGGCTGTGTTCGTGGGGCAGAGGATAAGAGCTCGACTGAGGCAGCAGATCCTGCGACGTGCTCGTGACCCCGTTCTCACAGGAGTACTGAGAGCTCATGCCGCTGGGAGTAGACAGACCTTGGACGTCACCGGAGAACGGACTCTGGCTGGTGCCGACCCGCTGACGTACGGTACTGCGAGGGACCACTGGATACTCCTTGGTGCTTTGGGAAACAGAAAGGACTTTGTGAGCCATTTCATGGCATGCATTTCCATGTTGTCTTTCAGTCAGGGATCTTGAAACCATTCCATTGGTAACTAACCACATCCACCATCGACGCGCAGCACTGCGTTAGAATAATCTCTTCACCATCTGTCTGCGATGGGAGCTTTTCCATACCAATTAATCAGCAAAAGTTGCAAGAGGCACTTTGCATTAATTCCTACGCTATTTCTTTTGAACCACTGACCTGGTTTTCCGTTGGTCCGAGTTTAACTAAGACCAGACCTGCTTCGTCTCAGTGTTTGACAGTGGAGGACAGATAGGATATCAGGACCTTTGACTTCTACACAGCACCACGGAGGAGTTTCTTTTTTCCTCTCTGCATTTTTATGATGCATTACTCTTTGCTTTATAACGAGTATAGCGGCTTTCTTGCTTGTTTGCCACCTCGGACGAAAGCGTCTGCTGAATGCATAAAGTCATGTTAATAGCAGTGCCGTGTAACGGATTCAGTAGAAGAATCGTGCAAGCTTTAGTTGGGTCTTAAAGTCTTCTCTTTTCTTTTTAACGAATAGTGGTTCCTTGCTTGTACACCACCTTGGATTAAAGCTTCTGCTGAATGCATAAAGTCATGCTAATAGCAGTGCCATGTAAACGATTCAGTAGGAGAATCGTACAGGCATTAGTTGGGTCTTAAAGTCTTCAGGTCATTATCTGGAAACTCAATAGAAGGCTCTCATGGGAGACATTAGTCAGTTCTTTCTTTGCTTGTTTGAAAGTAACAACAGACAAAGTTAACTATGGCATGGAAAGAGCATTGCCATTTTTTCCGAGTGTATCAAGAAGTCTGTCATTTTGGAGTGGACAACGCCTGTGCTGGCTGCTGTGGGCCCTCCGACCAGATTTTCTGCTTTGAAAATGTGTTTTTCCACACTCTATACAGCAGTCATCTGGAGAAAATAAGAACACGAGCCATGTGGTCTTTGCCTCCACTGGACCAACTATATCACAACTGCAGACAACTGTTCTGGATCTACACAGAGCTGAAAGAGAGATTGCCATGGTGGATGGTTTTCAAGAGGAACACTCACATAACAAGTGTCCCCTCAGTCAAGAGCATCACTGGTTTGTGTCTGCTGTGCATGGATCAATACTGCCCTGTGTAGTTTAGTTTTAATCTGACTGCCCATCTGAAGATGCTGGTCAATTCTCCTGTCAATGTGAGCACATTTGGAGGTGCTATCTGTAAGACCTATATAAAGAGGGAGCTCCTAACCTGAGCTGCTGGCTGCTGGTTGTTTATCGCTATAATTAACTCCACGCAAGCACTAGCTCATGTAAGTGTCACTCTTCGCAGATTTAGACTCACCTCTGCATTCTTGACATGCGATGCAGCTCCATATCGTCACTTCCACGAAAGCCCTTTGCGAAGGGATTGTTCTCGATCTTCAGTTGGGTGATCTGTAAAACAGCCAACACAGCAGTGTTACCTTGCTTGTACACGCTGTTTAAATATGGCTGTAGTCTCTTTTTTTCATTTGAAACAAACAATGAGGTTTTTCAACCTGAAAGTTCAAAAGGTGATTTATAGATGATTGGCTTTTGCCTCCTTTTTATTGTTTCCAGTAATGCATTAAAGCAATAATGCCCAAGAAGCTTCACGGGGCTTATTGCTTTTATAAAACGGTTATTCCATATACATAGTTAGGTTTCACAAAATAAAACAGAGCAAATAAAGTGTAATGATATTAATAACAACAGTATTCTTCCACCAAACAATGTAGCTCCTCAGAAACAGTTGTGGATGCAACAAAGTGGTTGCCGAGCAACACACAGAAGTAAACAAAGGTGTATGTTACTTTGTAGAGTCATTTACAACAGCTTCGAAGCGGCTCAGCCAATCAGAATCAAGCACCGGAACTCTCTGTTTAATAATCATGAATTTGCACTGACCACTGCATTGATCGTTTCTGTTCAGTCTTGTCTTTGAAACCATATCTAATAGAATGTTTTATTGCACAATGTCTATAAAATGCATAATGAGCTGCCCTGTGTGTAAATTGAGAAATTGTCCTAGTGGTTTTCTGTGCTTGGTCAGCAGATGATGAAAAGATGAATCTCGATGAACCCAGGCTGTGGCTTGTTTGATGCTGCGCTAATGTAGAAAAACATTTGTCAGTTTGGATAAAGACTGGTGTAGATTTTTGTCTTTACATAAACCAGAACAAAGTTTCTAATAATTCCACACAAGAAGCACAGAAAACAAATGTTAATATTGTCAGAGAGATCTACAGTAATATAAATTTCAGAGGTCAACATAACATATTTTGCCTTTTGTAAATAGCCTTTGTGCATTTAAAAATACATTATTTTTGCCTTAACGATAATGTCTCTTTAGTTATTTATAATTACTTCTTAACATATTTTTTTATCCCATTGATTGTTTAGGGAGTAAAATTATTATTATTATTATTATTATTATTATATCTGATTTAATAGCTTACAAAATCTCTGAATCTGTTCAGTGTGTGTGTGAAAGACATTTAAAACGGATGCTTTTATAAAAGAAAAAAGGGTCTTTAAAATGAAACGGCGCACAAAAAAATGACTTTTCAAACTTTTGTATCGAAGGTTAATCCCAAGTGCCACTGCCAAATTTACAAAAGCGATTTGGCAAGATGCTAGTATATCTGTATATCTGTACTGATAGACAGTAATGAGTTGGCGGATTTGAGTGGATAGACCTTTAATGAGACTCACTGTCTCTGCGAGGTTTATTTTTGGCTGTTGTGGTGTGTTTTCTAACAGGACCTGATCTTTGACACTACGTTGGCTCTCACTTGAGATGAGACCTTGTAAAAAATGGACATGTTGGGACTTGGGACGCACCTTTGAGCTCTCATAAACGCACTGTGCGCTTGGCAGACTTCACGCAACGGAGTAGTTTTGTACAGGCCCGGATTGGCTAATCGGTCTCGCGCTGACCTCCCTTCACCGTCCGCGTTCTGATTCAGTTTGGGCGAATGCAAACAACTTATAGACTATGAGCCCAACATTCAATCTAGCTGAGGGAAGACGTCTTTCGTTGTAATGCAGTTAAATCGAGAGCGAGAGAAAAATAAATTTAAAAAAAATTAACTTCTAGCGTATTCTTGGACCTCATTATTGAAGTAGGCTACAAATCCAAGCACCAGAAGCAGCCCACACTCTCTAAGTTTTCTTTAATTGAAAAATATGCATTTTCATTCATTCAAATGCTACATGTTTGCAATGATTTTTTTAGTTCAAAACTTTAAATGCCATTGTTTAAATACTTAACGGTGTCTTTGGGATGTTTTCTTTCCATTAGTCTGAAAAAACACTTTATGAAAAACCAAAAAGCCCAAAATCTCAAAATTGACAGGTGCATGAAAAAACAGTGCTTTTGCCTGCAGTGTCTCCCCTTAAGAATCACAATTGTCCGTTATTTTCCATTTGTGGCACCTTGCTAAGAAAAAAATAAAAATAAAAAAACCCTCAGTTGTTGGAGATATGCGAGCAAAAAAAAATAGATGAAAAATGGATAATAGAAAGCGCAAAGGCGGCACTTAAAAAGGCCAGTAAAAAAAAATAAATAAGTGGGCCGGTCTAAGGCATGAAACTCCAGGGCTGAAAATGAGTCCCACTCCGGCCCTGGTTTTTTTGTATGTGACAATTTGATGTCCTTAATATTTACCTTTGTACCGTGAAAGTGCAAACTGAATTTTTTCAAAATATGTCAGTTTCTTATTTTCGAAGGTCGACCGAGAACTCCAGTGTTGGCGGCGCTTTGGTTTTATCTCACTGCAGTGACCTTTTCGTCTTTATATGTATTAAGTTTATATCTCTTATTTTCGTATTTATATTCACTATATTTCTATGTTTTTTCACTTATTAATTTGATTGTGCAGGTTTACTGCATCTCGGAAAAAAGAGCAAGTCCGTGCGCTACAGCATAGGCCTATATATAAACACACACATACGAGGCAGAATACCATATGCTCTCGTAAAGTGTGTCGTACGTTTAGCCTAAAATGTTGCTCGTGGTGGGATAAAGGTAAACCTACACATGATTATTCCCGTTTGCTGGTTTCTTTAGCTGCAAGCGTAAGGTCCAAAAGGTTATTCAAAATCAATTATTTTTAATGACATACAGGTGCTCATGCTTTTACCCTTTTTAGGTGCGTAACTTGCTTTCTTGAAATTGTACTTAAGTTTATGTTGCATGTAGGCTAGTAGGTAAAATAATTGCTGTTTATAATTAAAAGTCATAAGTGGTGAAAATGTAAAAAAAAAAAAGCAGTGTAAATAAATAATAGATATCAGAATGTCCGTTAATTAAAACTAACATTTTTGTTTTTGTGTTTAAAGCAAGGGTGAAAAAACAAACTTACAACAACTTAAACTCGGCGATCTCTTTAAAAAGCATCGATAGGCCTTATAAGAGCCGACAAATAATCCAGTCTTTGAGCGTCCCGGTGTTTTACTCGAATTAATACAGATAGACAAAATTAAAGTCTGCTAAATGCGTGTGTGTTTTCTCACATCGGTGAAATCATTTATTACACAAATCTGTTATCCAGAGGAGTAGTGTCCATCTTTATCATGTTCTTATTTGCAAACATGATTTTACGATTAAATGTCGGCTGCTCACATTAAACTTTTGGGCTATTTGACTACAGCGCAACACGAGTTTTTAACTGTATAAATGTTACATTAACAACTGCCATATAAAAGTGCAGCTAGTGTGACAAAAACACAGACATGCATCTGACAGTCTTTTAGAAGTCAGAAGTCAGAAAGAGCTTTATTGCCAAGTTTGCACATACAAGGAATTTGTTTTAGTGTCACGAGCTTCCACAGATAATACAAATAAGATGATTTATAATAAGAAAATAAGATATTTTTTAAGCAAATAACGTAATTATTTTTTTAAGGACACACTGTGCATATTGTTTAGGTGTACAGTCATTTATCTCTGTATTTAGTTGTTTTTACAAACGACTTTTTTCACTGCCTTATCATATTCAACCGTGCTTAGCGACCTAATAATGTCGAGTTGGAAATATCACGGTTGGAACTGGACTATTAACCAATAATCGAATTTCGAATGCATGAATGGAAATATTCTTAGAAGCATAACAGCTGGCCAAATAAATCATGATTAGTGCAACATTTCTTTATAGTAGCCATATAAACATTTCGGACGTCTTTTATTATTTTCTTCCTAAGTGAAATATGTAATGTAATAGTTGAAATAGTTACAATTAGCAACAATATTTTTGATAGGTGCACAAATCTCTTTTTTCTGCAAATCTGTCCAATCAAGCTGTTGTCGTGCAGAGTAATTGTATTGGAATCATTAAATCAACCAGGAATCATAAGTTAAGACGAATTTGTGTCACTTTCTTGAAGCAGACAATTCTATGCTAATTCTATAATTTCGTAGATTCACAAAATCGAATCTATTTTTTACGCCATATTTATCATGATAAGAATGATCACAGCAGGATAACCTAAAACCCCCGTCTATATTTTATCCCGTCTAGCTGCTTACCTTATGGTTTTGGTAAGACGTGACTCCAATGAACGCCGTTTCCGGGAACACGTGAGTGCAGAAAGCCGTGTTTTTGGATCCAAATCCGTTATTTTCATCTGCTTTTACGATGTGAATCCTGGGCTGATATTTATGCATGGAATTCAGGATAATCTGGAGAGAAAATAGAGCGCAAACATGACCGACCATGTAAGTAAACCTCGTGTTCGCGTGCATATTATTTAAATGATCGTTTTCGATTATATATAATAATATAGGCTACGTAAAGATATTTTATATAAAAGGATGCTACCATGGTTAATTAATGTGATTGCGAAGGAACCTCGCTAATAACTTATGAACTGTGTGTTTAAACGTTTTTCTTCTTGCTATCAGCTGCGTTTTTAAACACCTTTTTTTCCTCCAATAATATCCACTCCCAGCAATGTCCCATTTTTTCCGTTTTGCACTGTTTTGTCCATCTCTAAAGCCTCCTGCCCAGTGCTATTTACTGTTCAAATGAGACCTCACATAACATTCTGTACAGAAGATTTACACTAGTGCTGAAAAATGTCCATACCTAGTAGCTGTGCTGTTTTGCAGTGTGCACTTGTCTTAAGTATGGATTTGAAGAATATTACTAAAAAGACTTTTGTTCAAGTTCTCGTCGGCTCTGTGAGTTCTTCCTGTCTTCTGTGCGTGTATAATGTAGGCTTCTCTAAGTGGATTTTGTCTAAACTTTGCATTCTGGATGAGCATGCCAAGTGCACACACACACACACACACACACACACACACACACACATGCATTCCTATTTTCCATTTTCATGTGTTTTCCCCTCACATGCAATTTCCAAACAACTGCAGCGTTTCTCCTTTGATCAGTGACATCGGTCCACTCCCTCCGAGCGGCTCCTGGCTCAACACAACACCGAGACTTGGAAAGCAGGGCTTGCTGTAAACTTTAAACATCGCTCTCAGTGGAGAATATTGCTTTTGCTCTGGATGGACAAGATGATGTATTGTTAAAGGTAAAAAGCAAAATGCATGGCTTTAATATCTGTGATGTCGAAATAAAATAATAATTGTATAGGCCTGTCTGGATTAAACAAGAACTGCAACCGCACAGCTTTGGCGAAAAGCAGAGTGGGGCATATAAGAATATTTGGAGAACTGTATGGATATGAGAAAAGTTATTTTGTGGGACCACCCACTGGGACTGCAGCATTTGTCTGTTCTGGGTGCCTCGTTGCCCAATTTCTCCATTTGCCCCCACGCTGTATGATAGTCTTTAATGATAGTGAGCGATCACTGAGGGCCATGAATGTTGGCCCACTCTTTCATGTTGCCGACATCACAGGGACTCCGAAATCCTGCAGATTAACAGCCTTTGTATGCCTCTGTCCATCACTCATCACACTGTGTCATTAAATATAAACAGTTTGAAGCACAGTTATCCAAACTCCACCATTCTGACTCAGATATTTCTGCGAGAGGCAAAGAATGTGTATGCCTATTGAACGCTATAATGATCAAAGCCGAAGCTTTAGTTTGCTGCCATCTAAAAACATCTTCAACTTGGAAAATTCAAACCGTGTTCTTATGCACCGTGTGTATGCTCGGTAAGTTATCCACTTGGGAATTATTGTTTCAGTCTCAGACATCTTTATCTCATCATCAGAGTCTAATTAAGACCGAGTTCGGAACTATTGGCTTGTTTTATGCATTTCCTAACAGGTTCCAGCTTATTGCATGTTCAGCCCTGTTTCTGAGACTAGTAATTATAAATAGGTCTGAAATTATTTCAACCACCTGGAACAACAAACCGATAGACTGTTATTTTGGTCGAGAAGCCGTACTTCATTTATAAATCCCAGGGCGCTCTTTCAGCACAAAAGGGGGCACGCCAGGAACCACTGCATCCAATCAAAAATGCATTCTGGCCAGAAATTTACAACTCGGCTCACATTCCAGCCGGGCTCTGATTTCATTCTACCAGCTGAGGTTTGGCAAGAAAACAAGCCTGATCGACTTCAACCTTGTGATCAGAACTAAACTGCAAACTGCTTGCAGTCACGGCTCTGCAGATGAGGCATCTAAGCTCATTTTCTAATCTCACACCGAAGGTGATCTGGCTTGTCCAGAAATCGGAGAAATGTTGAACCAAGAGACCTTTGAATTGAGGCTCGGGCTGGTTTTTCTTAATAGCAGAAACCTCATGAGTTGACTGTGCATGCATTAGTGCATAAGTGGATGCTATGCATATTAAAATCATATAAAAATGAAATTTCTTCAAACTCATATCAGTTTACAGAGAGTACATTTATAATCTGAATTTAGTGTTTCCACATCTGAGGCCAACTGCTGGTGCTTCTGTTGTCACAATTATCATTACCGGATTTAAGATGTGTTTTGGTTGTTACACTGTTCTGGCGTTTGTCAGCAGCACCTCTTCAGGGGTGGATTTCCTGATCTAGAGCCTAGATACAACACTACCTGATCAGATCTGCATGTGTGACCCCTTAAACACTCAAATCCTCTTTCTCTGCTGTGCTTATTTCAAACAGCTACAATCCAACATGTGATGATTTTGTCAGTAATGCATTTATTTATTCAGTCAAAACATTTCAAAGCAAATACATGGAACTGTACTCACATGTCCGAACGGATCAAGGTGGTTGTTGGTTAATTTCAGCTTCTGGAAAGACACCAGTTGCCGCATCCAATGCGCGCCAGTGGCTGGAGAATCCGGATGGACGTACAGCCTTCCCGGCATCGCAGGCTCTGCTTTCCCCGTCATAGACCTGAGCCGAGTGCAAAATAAAGACAGTCGTTATTTAAACATACATTTGCTTCATTTTAAATACACATTGATTTCCCTCAACACTGTAGTGTTTTATACTTGAAATATTTTGGATTACTTTTAAATTAGTTTTCTTTCCTGTGATCACTGATATTGTTGCTCTCTGCTGTATCGACTAGAAAAGTAACCCTACCAGGTTTAAGATTCTGTTTATTTGTCCATGCATGCATTATAACAAGAATAATTTCATTAAAACTCAAAGATAATGTTTTGTTCCCTCAATATGTTTCTTTTATTGCAATCGAAATGTGATACAGCCTGCTACCTCCCATATATCATGCATCAATGCCTTGTGCATTGTAAATAATGTCTTTCAAAGAACAGTGTATTTGGTTAATGGCTAAGATGATGGTTGATCAAGAGGGCCATTAGTTCCAGAGCTTGCACTGAACGGGTAATTATCAGGGATATTGGCTTGTGGACATCCTCCCTCAATAACCTCAACAATTTAAAACCACTGACCCTGAAAAAGGAGTATAAATCCAATTCGCAGTGTGTTCTGTGCAGCAGCAGATGGAACTGTGTGTAAAGCAATGCGAAGGCTATATTTTCTCATCCTTTATTGTATACATTTTAAACCTGAAATAGGTCTGTGTCCCTCAGCACCGAAACTAAATAATGACAATTAATGAGTCTTACTTAAATATGAATATGTGTGGCACCACCAAATAAATAATAACCTGCATCCGTAACTTTAACTTTTAATAAAACAATTGATGACTCACGCACCATTTGTTATCGGCGAATTTATAGCGGTGATCGTCCGCTGGCACGACATCCATCAGCAGAATGTATTTGGTTTTTGGGTTCAACCCGGTGACCTTCACTTTGAAGCTTGGGAACATCCGCCTGTGGAACAAAAACAATTGTATATTGAGTGAATAAAACTATGAAAGTGTGCATAAATGTGAGTATAGACGATGAAAGTGGTTTTGCATTCACTGGGTCTGGGTCAGCTAAGCGTTTCATATTTGAATGCGTTCACTTTAAGAAATGCACGTATTTAAATGCACAAATAAAACTGTTTACGATTTTGTCAAGAGTTAAATGACGAAAACTGCAAGACAATTTGCTATCATGCATACAGAACCATTGAGACCTTTATAACATTAAACATCAACTTAATTTCCAGCGACGATCTCGGTATTTATCGATATTTTCATTCTCTCGCGCTGATCATAATGTTAAGCAACAGCAAAGTCGCAGTAAGGAGTTCATGCACACTGATTTATTGTTTTCTTTTTTCGCATCTGATTCCTGAGAGGCCCTCTGCTGTTTTCAAAGAAGCAGACATTGCTGAAATACTAACTTCAATGTTCAATATGTATTTTAAAACACTTCTCTGCTAATAGAGAAGAATAGCTGCCGCAGCTCTGGCCTAAACCACTATAGTATTGTTTTAAACAATTAGTAACCTTAAAACAGATTAACAATCCCCGCTCATTCTACATAGTCAATGTTATTAATATGCAATGGTAATATTTTAAACAATCGCTCTTAAAGTTTTAAAGTGAGATCTAAATTCGGTGTACATCCGTAACACTATTGGAAAAATCTGCTTAATTAATAAATCTGATTAATATTTTATAACAATTCGAATAAAAACTAAATCATGTAGCCAAACCAATGCTTATTGATTTACTGGAATTAGCCTACTGCTAACACTGCAAAATCAAACTCAAATTTTTAAAACGCATTCTTAATAAAAATAAATAATACAAAGTATAAATAATAGCCTACGTATATAATAAATAATGCAAAGCTAAAAAGGTTATATGTTTAAATGTTATGTCTATAGCCCCAAGCAAACCACAGTGTGCCGTTAAAGATCAAAATGAAGAAATTATAATACAATCTAACTTTTTATGTGCATTGCAGTACGAGAATATATAAATTAATAGGCTCATATAATGAATAGTGTACAGTAAGTAATATATTATGCATTTATTATAATAGGCTAATTAGTACAATAATGATTACAATGAAAAATTCTTAATTGCGCATTATTTTTATTTTTATATCGGTTCTCCGAAAACTACAGATGCAATGCATTTTCAAAACATTTGTAAACATTTGTTGTCTTACCTCCCGGCTTTGGTGATGATCATTTCAGTTCCCACTTCATGAAACTTCGTCCACAACTCTCGCTCGTGCAAGTAAACCTTTATCCCTTCCATTCCCTTTTAAAAAGACAGATGCAGACGTCGAGAATGAACGTAACGAATGCAGAATGCGCTGCAGTTTCTCAAACGTTAAAAACGGCGGTGTCGCTCCTCAGAATTACAGCTAAATGCATATAGAGGAGAGAAAAAAAGCTGTTCGGCTTTAAGAATAGAATAGGTTATATAAATCATGCTGGCCTAGAGTAAATCACTGCAAACGCTGAATTATTTTTTAATAAACTGCAAGATTAGGTTAGTAGAATTATGCTACACACACGCATGTTAATTGCACTTAATTTGGAATCTTGAGTAAACTAACTCACAACACAATTGTCACAAAACTCACAAAACACTCGTGTAGCCTCTGTAAGTTTTTTGTAAGTTTTGCTTTTGCGGCCCTCTGAACAACAGTAATAAGTGATGAAAGTACCACAGCTTTATTCATTTTCTTATGTCAGCGGTTGATGAACAACTGGCGCATCTCTTACACCTTTACTCAGCTGTCTAAATGGAGACATTCCATAGACTTCTATTGTTTTTATATACAGCTAAGCATAAATACTATAATACACCCAACACTAACTGAATGTGTATATAATGACTATATTTTAAAAACGTTTTACAAATAAGGGCATCCCAATAGGAGGTTTTGTAAAAAAATTGGCTCATTTCTAGGGGCAAATTTGTAACTAAAATTTTTGGTTAAGTAAGCACATAAGTAAGCACACACACACACACACACACACACACACACACACACAGAGAGACAGACAGCAGAATGGTTAAGACAGTAGTTGTTACCTGTTGAATGTAGGTTGTCTGTGAAGACGGGGATTTGCTAACGGCTCCATTCTGCTTGTCTGATTTACCATCGTTTTGTAAATCTTTTGAATCGGTGTCACTGGGAGAGTTTTGGAGCCGAAAGGTGTCTTCGCTGTCTGCCATGTCAGAGGGGCTGTGAACTACTGCAACCGCGAGGCCTAAATGACAGAAGAAGAAACAAAATCTAATCACTTTTTTCTTTTAAACAAGCATCTCTGTTGTTCAGTTCCCTTCAGACTATCTTGCACCACTTTAATAAGTTAATGCCTTTGATTATAACGACAAATTCGTATCCTAACTCTAACCCTTTTATGATAACTTTAAACAACAAACGAAATAAACTTCGAAAAAAAACGACGATATTAATCAAACACGCTACAAAAATATCCCGCTGATTTCGGAACATTCTTCATTAAAACACTTGGATACGGTCCCGCAAAAACAGTGAGGTGCAGTATTTATAATTTTGAAAATGTCTGCTCGCATAAATTATCCAGGTCAAGGCAACTTTCTTTGAACGCAAACACATGCATTGCATATGCACATTAATAATGCTTATGCATACACGTATAGCTATTTAAATGATCATTCTTTTGCTTCACGCGTCTTCAAATCTGGTAAGGAGTTATATATTCCAAGTCTGGGATATAATCATCGCACGGGCCTCTATTAGAACTTTCTTTGGATGTCAGAAGAACTCAGCCATGCACACAATCCAAGCTCAACTGTTTGATGAAAATATTCCGCAATGTTACTACAATTGCAACTACAATAGGCCATGCACTCTTATGTCTCACAGATATCGCATGCAGTTATAGTTTGCACGTCTGTATGCCGATGGTTCATGCTGTAGGAAATCAAAAGCGTGTCTGTAGTGATGGCCTGTAGTGCAACAACTCTAAATGAATCAGACTCGAAGAAACTGACATTACCTCGAATTCCGATGCAAGAGAGAGTTGTACAAATCCCCGAAACGGTGCAAAGCGCTCGTATCACTTCCAAACACTGTCGGTTCGATAGCGAACTTCCCTTTGAATGTCAAATATATTCCAAGCGTGCAGCTCACGAGATTCTGCTCTGTGAACCCATGGATTCCCTCTATGTCCTCGCTGAGGCAAGAATCCTCATGCAGCAAGCGTCCATGTGAGTATATCGATTAAAAATGCGACTCTTTCTTCATGCGGTAGCGTTGGATGTGCACTGATTGCAGTTCAGAGCACGGCAGCCCGTATTCTTCCCTTTACTAGTAGGTTCTGTCTAGTGCACCTCGAGAAAAGAAGCACGGTCACCTCCTCCCTCGCTCTCTTCTGTTTCTCTAATGGTCAAACCCCACGCATTAAGCTGGAGAACGGAAGCTCTGGGACGAACCACGTAGGTAGTTTATGGGTCGGCTGCTATGTGGACACAATATCGGTCCACCCACAGCCCCCCACCCTTCAGAAGCTCTGTATTATTGAATGAGGAGACATTTTAAACGCGCATATAGCCTACAACACGTGCGCATCTCGTCTCGTTGTACCATACACAACTGATGCGCTCCATGCATTTTATTGTAAGTCTGCATCAAGTTCTCGTCAAATCAGGTTTAAGTAGTGTGCATTATAAAATAAAATGTCTTCAATAAAAAATGAAATACAGAGAATATTGTGATAGCCTATGTATATGAAAGATTTAGTCTCCATTAGTTAACGATGGAGATGAAACCTAAAACAGACACATGGATTTCATTTGATAGGACGCTTGAAATGAAAAGTTTGAGTCACATCACGTGTGTCTTTGGTTTGTGTGGCTTGCGGCCTGCAAAGCGTTAGATTCAGAAACTAGAGTCGCTGCCAGCTGCGTCCAAACAACGTAAACGCGTTCATTAAATATTTTACACATGCATGTTTCTTCGGCTGACTTAGGCTGCTTCTTCAAAATATGTTGGATTTTAGCGCTGAAGGCAAACACGCGTCCGCCAATGCACCTGAAGATGACCGTGTTGTTGTTGTCTTTCCTGGAGGTTAGGGAGAAGTTTGGTTACACGTTATTTTAAGGTGTCCATACATTTCAGTACTGAGTAATATTAATAAACCTCATGTACTTACTATATGGTTAGGATTAGGATTAGGGTTTGGTTTAGGGTTACTTGCATGCAATTATGCATAATTTATTTTTATTATAATAGTAAGTACATGTAACGTGTGTAACAAGGACACCTTAAAATAAAGTGTCACCAAAAGTTTGTCCACAAAATAAATGGATTATAACTAAAGTGATACTAGCCATTTCGGTTTCAAACCAAATCCACAAAGGTTATAGATCTCCTGATACAATAAGACTTGTACCCCGCAGGCCACTATGGGGTCCTTCTTATGCCACAGAATAGTAAACCGCCAAATCTAGTAAAGAAACTTCCATGAACCCGGGAACTAAATATAGCACCTGATAACCCAGTGGACACCACACACAACAGCATGCGAACCGGTGTTAAATCACAGATCCGCCAGCGGATGGTCTCATTAAAATTCGTATCAATAGCAGGAATTTATTTTGTATTTTGCGTGCTATTTATACGCAGAAACTGAATTTGGCGTGCATACGATAAGCACGTGTTTGACATATAATAGTTTTTGCGTGCATATGATACTCACTTTGTTGGCGTGCACATGATACTCATTTTGGCATACATATAATAAGCACCGACCCCACACCCCTAAACCTAACCATTGCGTATCATAAGCACGCCAAAGTCAATTTCTGCTTATGAATAGCAAACCCAAAATCGTGCCATTGAAACGCACTTTCATGAGATCGGGTTATAATAAGAACCAAGTTCTGCTGCCTCGCGCTCTATAGCGATTCAAGATCCGTCACGAAATCCAACAGATAATTTCAATGCAGATACTGATCTAATGAGTGATAACGGGACAGTAACAGCCCTCTGATGTAATGAGTTTATGTATGACAAACATTGCATCAAGGGTCAACTTTTGCTGTAATGTTAGTTAAACGTGTATGATATAGGCCTATGCATGTAACGGCACTATAGACCCATAGGCCTATTGTTCTGTAACACTTTGCCAAAAAGTCTTGGTATATGTTCCTTATCGTGCAACCTATACACAATTCGTGCAGTCATATTGAGTGCTTACAGGAAGGCAGCTAAAAGTAGAAACACATATCATGCAAACTGAATAATGGAGATTACTGTCCAAGAATCCCTAGAATGCTCTAGAAAACACCTTGCTCGTTCGTTTCAGTATGTACAGCGGGCATAAACAAATGTGTATGATACACAGATTAGCTTGCAAGAAATTAAACACCAGTTCTTTTAAATTAGCCGTCTTGTGTGGATATTTGTGTGAACAAGAAATTTAAGTAATTATTATGAAAATGTTATTTTTAAATTTACCCAAACATTTCTAAACGTAGTAACCTATAATCAGATTCGAAATAATTTAGTCGTTTAGAAGTTTCCCGCCCGCTTTTACAATTAATTATTAAAATACAAGAAAATAATATTTTTCTTTTTCAAAGCAATAATTTAGTCATTCAGAAGTTTTCCAGTTGTTTTTGAGATCTGAACATATATATTTTTGAATCCCTGCGTGTGGGAAAGATATTTGCCAGCTTGCCTTGAACAAAAATAATTTGCCAATGAATGTAAATATAGACCTGACCACTTGCTACCTGAGGCATAAAATAACTTTTTTAAACTTTAAAAGTTTTTAAAATCTTTAGGGTTAGGGCTATTTGCTGAAAAGTTTTACCCTGATATTATTCTCATTTTAGCTCGAGTATAACGACTTTTTGTGAGCCTTTGTCTTTTGTAGGTAACATCAAATGGTAAGTGTACGAATGTAGCTTGAACGGCAAATAGGAGCTCTTAAAGAGTGAATTATACAAAAACATTATTATTATTATTATTGTTATTGACGCGCTTAGTGAATCAGGGCTCAAAAGTTATGTCATATACATTATACAATTAAAAGTGCATGGCCACTTTATTTATTTATTTATAATTTATTGTGCGCGTGTGATTCCAATCTACGTGTTTAATCGGATGGCATTTGAGCGCTATCAACGCTCCACTTTATATTTATCGCGAAAATATACAAATGTGTGTGCAATAAACTTGTTTAAAAAGACTTACGAAAATGTTGTCAGTGCTTTGACTTTTGACTGTATAGGTTAAATCAGGGGCGTAGCCATCATTTCAGAAGTGAGGGGGACAG